TTTGAGACTTTTTAGGAGACATCTCCATGCATATATATAACATGCATGTTCATAAGCAATAATGTGAATATTTGAGTTGAAGAACTTCTCATTTCACATGCTTCTTTCTGCATTACTGCATTATTTCTAACGCTGTGTCTGTCATAAAACATGTTCCTTATACTTGCGTAGCCAAATGATATTTATCTGGCAACATATTTGTTACCATATTTCTAATCAGAATACGGGCCCTTGACATTGAGATGCTACAACAAATCGCCTGCTACTCACATCAGTATTTAGACACGAAGAATATAGACAGATCTTCTCCCTGCTGCAGTTATACCAGTTGAAGAGTTAACACGCTTCTTGTGAGCTACCGCCCTTTCCAGTTGGCTGGTTCAGCTGCTTATGTGAACCATTTCAGTCAAAATAAGTGAGATAGGCTTCCATATTTTAGGACCTTTGCAAAGGCCGTTCATTTTGCAAACATGTGAAAACAAGATCATTTTATTGTGTAGTTTGCAGTCCACATAAAGAATGTGCAAGTTTGGCACTGAGGTGAAATAAAAATGAGAAATAATGAAAACGATTAGCACAAATCAAGCAGTCAAGTTCTCTTTTTGTTAGGATTTTTAGGTTATTTACAGTGTCTCATTTATTTGCTTCCTTTTCAGGAAGTATTAGGTTTACAGCTCCATAGGTTTCATCTTGGAACAGATCTGGCTTGAGGGTGTTGTGAAGGAAAAAGGTGGAAGGAAGTAATACAGAAATCAGGATCGCATTGCTATTGTGAATATCTTCAGCTATATTCTCCAAAGGCTGCTTTGCTGGTCTGTTCTGCATTAAGATTTTTCTGGATATGAACCAGCCTAAAGTTATAGTACCCAGAGAGAAGGTGAATGGTCTAACGATTGATTGATTTAGATTTAATAGCACAGAGATGAGAGTATGCGTGAACTCAGATTTCCTGTGATGCGCTAGGGGTCTGGAGTGAAATACACCGTCAGCAGAAAAACACAGTAGGAAAAGCTGGAATGCAATGCTTGAAATTCAAGAGAGGTGAGACTGTAATTTATTTGGCTGTAAATGACAAGCTCAGGAGGAACACAAAACTTTTTAATCTTCAGGGTATTATGTATCAAGGTAATTTAATGCTGAAAACAGATTGGCAAGAATGTTAATCGTCATGATTCAGGTTTATTCCAATTTTGGACTTTCAGAAACTAGGATGAGATCTCATGTAAGGGATATTTTATCCCAGATTTTCCCCATTATGTTTCTAACATTTCACTCTAAAGTCTGTGATAATCACCATTGTATAAGATCAGAGACTTGGCTAGAGTCCCTTAAGGTCTGATCCAGTCTGGCCGGTTACTGCTTGTAGTAGTTTAATATTCTCTGAAGCGCTCTTTATTCCCTATCCTGTTAGTATAGACTTCCCTTTCCAGCTGCTCTTCTGTCAGCTCTGTTATCCATCCTATATTCAGCACATTGAGTTTGTAACAGTTCCTTGGAAAAAAACAGAAAACCCCGATCCCTCTAGAGGGAAATTTCTGAGCGTTAACACAAAATTCCACATACAACACTGGTTCCATTTTCACCGCAAGCCTTTTCCAAAGCAAACAGCTCGCTTTCCTGTTAACTGGGAGGTGTGAGGTTGCGGAGCTTTGGAGCTGTGTGAATCCCGTTGCTGTCCCAGGAGCAATGCTGTTTCCTCTCTTCTTTCCTTCCTCTTTGCTTCCTGGGGCTTTATTTTCTGTCAAAGGTCCATCCTTTTTGAATGACTGTCAAATGCTTGTGCAGGTGGCAAAAGTGAAAAAGCAGCGGAGCTTGGAGTCATCGCAAGCTCTGGTGGGATCAGAGATGGTTGATTTGAACTTGTGACAGAGTTTGGAAGATAATACTTGGTACACTTAGCTTTCTGAAACAAAAAGGACTTTTGTTCAGACCCTGGGAAACTGTAATGAAACCCACACATCATGTTTCAGTGGGTAAACTTGGACTAAAAATAAGTAAATCGTAGGTTGACTTTGTGATTTTGAGCCATATACTCAAGCCTTCCTCCGTAATATAAGATTTCATTCTACTAGTGACCATTGTGGTTCTCTTCAGCGCTTGCTGGCATATTCCAGGATGAAAGTTAGAGATCAAACAGAAGTTGGAATTAGAGGGGACATGATTCAAGAGAACTTCTTCTGAAATTACTGCCAAGATGAGCAATTGCAGAATAATTCTCCAGATCACTTGGATTTTGAAAAGGAAAAAAAGGGAGGTGGGTGCTTGTGTTTTCAGTAACATATTTGAAAGTGTAATGAATCGAAATTACCCAGCCAGTACTCAATGGATATTTAATAAGATGTAAGTGTGTATATTCTTAAATATTGTTTGCTCTTCTCATGCAAATGACCTGTCTGGCCTGAAGTACATCGGCTTTAACCCTTAAAATGAAGGAGGGGAGAGCTTCAAAGTGATTTCTGTTGGGCTGTTTGGTGTGGACAAAGTGCTTTTAAATACAAGCTTTGTGTCCACTGTTCTGATGTTTTTGCCTAATACTGCTACTTTACTTTGAAAATAGATGAGGGGTTACCATCTTGGACTGCAGGCTCAGAGGCTGAGTATTACCTGTGGCTTATAGGATAAGGGACGGACACTTTCTTCCCCTTCAATAAAGAAATCGTGGTCTCTAGATACAGCAGTAATCCTTCATCAGAGCAACAGAAATGCGGGACTTGCTTGCCGTTTGCACATATGTATGTCTGAAATGTCTTTGATATCAGACAAAAATGTATAAAATGCTGTCGCCTGGGCCCAATCCAGGGAATTTGGTGGATGGGGCTGACTTTTGTGGCCAGTTTGAGTGGCTCAACATTGCAGAGCACGCGTTGGGTTCTGCGAAAGAGGAAACAGCCTCTCTTGTCAGTGCAGGCTGTACTGTGAACCGCCTGTCCTGTGAGTGCAGACCCTCGATTACCCAGGTAATCAGCAGCTGACGTACCACCATCCTGGAAAACTAGGGAGATCTCCAAGAAGCCTATTTTATATTGCAATAATGGCAGATATGACGACCCCTCTTTTTTCAAAAGTATACATTCCAGAAGACTTCAGCTGGTTGTTCTGGATATCAGGAAGGAATTTGTTTAGACATAAAACTTCCATTAAGATAATGAGATGTAAAATGAATATCATGTTACTGACTGCAAGGCAGAAAACCATCTGATGATGGTGAAGGAGAGCATGGCATACCTGCGGAGGAGGACGGGGGAGGGGGGCAACGATAGCCACCAAAGTCATTGCATTATTTCTGCAGACGGGAGACCTTTGATTCATATTGCGCAATGTCTGTCTTTGTAACTGTCACGAGCTGCCAGATCCATCTCTTCACACCTCTTGAACACAGGCAGATGAACTCCTCGATTCAACAGCTTCTTCAGCCATTCGCATTAGTGTTTTGTTAATCGTTCTGACTCTGGCTTTCTTCCCCTCTCCCTTCCCAGCACTGGGGATTTCAAGGTTCAGCTTGCATAACAGGTAATAGCAGGCATTTCCTTCTCCTGTGTCGGGATATCCTGGCGCCCTTCAGTCTCTCTCTGACTGTGTTTAAAACAGACTTCAGCACAGGAAAAAAAAAAGGAAGAAAAAAAAAAAAAAAAGCCCAGTCTAAAATTAGCAGCCTTGATAGAAGAAAGGCACACGGCTGTCCACTGTGCTGTTTGTCAATGAAACAACACATCTAAACAGGGCCAGAATGCATTTCCTCTCTGGGAAAAACAGACATGTCAAGTTTTGGGGAGGATGGGAGGGAGCGAGAGTAAAGCAGGCATCACACCGATGATCGAGAGCTATCCAGAAGGTATCCAAAGACCGTGGTGTACATGAAGAGGCCGTAGGGAGGTCTCGCTATGGCAGGGTTATATATGTGTCTCTAGGTAGCACTGACTGATGCTTGAGGGTCTTGCTGCACCTGGAAGCTGGATCAGATGTTTTGAGAGTTACAGAACCTCTGCAGTCTCCTCCTCTTGTTTGGATTTCAGGTTCATCTTCCTTAATGGGTGTTTATTGCCATGAGGGCTGTATTTAAATGACCTAGGCTAGATTCTGATCTTGCAGCAGTGTAAACCTGAGGTCTCAGCAGGTTTATACCATTCTACATGTTCTGAGTTTTTAAAGTTGAAATTAAAATTTAAAATAAAATGGTGTTACTTTATTATAACCTGTTGTTTACATTAATAATAATGATATATTTTTAATCTGATCTTGTAAGCAGCCCGAATGTTATATTCCATTAATGACAGTTTCGTGCATGGATATTTTATAGGATTGGACTCTTGGTGTAATGAATACTGAGTGACTTATTTTATACAGTAAGGAAAGATATTATTGCAAAATGTTTACAGTTTGTTGCCAGTGCTGTCAGTATGGAATTGTGATAAACCATTTCCTCCTTTCCTCATTCATTTCTGCATACAGTCTGTATCCATGAGCATTACTGTGGGAATTTTATTTATAGCAATATTACGAATTGACTTCAGCTTTCTTTGCAAATCTGCTAGATTGCAGATGTATCTGTCTATCAAAATGCAGCTGATGGTCATTGAGTAAAATTCGGTTAGCTAAAGGCAAATAATCATGTTTCAGCAAGACTTCAAAAATGTGCTCGGCCATTCTGCTCTACTTTTGAACAGTTCCTTTGGTATATTTTGTCCTGCTAAATTGTGGGATTAGATTGCATCCAGTTTATTTCTTTCATGTTTGCCTTCCTGGTTTCATAGGAAATAATAAAGGCTTGTTTTTCTTGGTTCGCAGAAGACTCATTCTGATATATCCAAGATAAAAGCTTCTATTCACGTACTGCAGAATCTCATGGGGAGGGCTTTTAAGAGACAATGAGCTTACTTTTAGATTTAGGCCTTTTTGCTATTCTTTTGTCACTTGAAAGATTTATAAAGTAAGAAACTCTTTTCCACCTGGATTTAATAGAGACTAAGTATTTTTGCATCAGTAAAAAGAAGTGGACTTACTGGCAAGTTGGAACACAGCAGCTATGGCCTCCTCCCACCACTGGGTATCCTGAGAAATGATAGGGAGCTCCATCAGGCCCAGGACGAAGATGAGCTGGCCAGCAGTCAGAGCAACAGTGGCGATGAGGTTACAAGCACGCATCATGTCGAACTGCACTAGGGAAACATAAGAAGTAAGCATAAAGTTAAAATGATATAAAATTGGGGAAAAAAAAATCCTGGCTAAGCAGGTATGTAAAATTTGTCAGTCCATAGAAAATGATTCTCAGACACTATTCCTACTCCCAGCAGTCCCTTGCTCTGACTGCATTCCCTGTGGTCTGATTAAGAAAAGATTTTTCTTTAGGATGTGTATTGAATCTTTCCTTTAGTTACACAGCATCCCATAACTATCGCTTCAGTGCGAAACAATCTTGTACGAAACAAGCAGCTAACTTCCAAGGATGGCCCGCTGGAGGTGCTTGACTCTTGCCCTGTGAAGATTCTACATATAATTAGCAGCCAGAATTGTTTGGGGTAGGAATGGTGTTTGGTTTGCATTTGTGTGGCACTAATTGAAATGGAACCTTAGTTCATAAATAGGTTTTCAAGGCTGTAAAATAATAATCATCCCAAAGACAAATCTAAAACACCCTGAATTTTTTTCACCTAGTCCATCTGTATTGTCCTAAAAACATTCTGTGGATGTTAATGCTAACATCTTATTGGTTTAAGGGAGCTTTGTATAGAGGATTCTTAACTTTTCCTTCTTTTAACACTTAATCTTTTAGATGCACTGGAAAGACCCTTGTATTTCTATCTGTGTAACGAGGGAAATGGTTACAATGAAGACGTCAATGCTTGGCAGTTCTGAATGAGGTGTTATGGCATAATTTACATGTATAAGTAAAAAGTTACTTTTTTAATATATATTAGTTCATATATATATATAGTGATAGGACAAGGGGTTATCTCATTAAGGGATATCTCTAGATCAACTGCCTTTGTACTTCTGGGTGATTTTAACTTCCCAGACATCAACTGGGAATATCATACAGCAGACACAAACAGGTCCAGGAAATTTCTGAAGCCCATTGAAGATAACTTCTTGGTGCAGATACTGAGGGAAATGACTAGCAAAGGTGCCCTCCTAGATTTGTAGTTTTTGGGCGAAGTGGTGATTGGTGGCTGGCTTGGTCACAGTGACCACCAAGTAGGTGAGTTTCAAATTGGTGGTGCTAGGAGAAAAACTGCCAGCAAAACTTTGACCCTGGATTTGGGGAGAGCAGACTTTGGGCTGCTGAAGGAGCTAGTTGGCAAGGTCCCCTGGGAGTCTGCTCTTGAAGGTATTGGGGTCCATGAATGCTGGTCACTTTTTAAGAGCCATCTCTTAAGAGTGCAGGAGCAGGCAATTCCAAAGTGCGGGAAGTCAAGCAAGCGGGGCAGAAGGATGGCTTGGCTGAGCAGGGATCTTCTTCTAGAACTTAGGCGGAATAGGAAAGTGTATGGACACTGGAAGCAAGGACAGGCAGGGATGCTGTTTGGCACTGTAGGGAGAAAATTCGTGTGGCCAAAGCTCAATTAGAGTTCAAGCCAGCCAGCGCTGTGAAGGACAGTAAAAGGGTTTTTAAATATGTTAACAGCAAAAGGAGAATCAGAGATAACATTAGTCCGTTATTTGATGAGGTCGGTCACCTCACAAATAGGGACATAGACAAAGCAGAGACGTTTAATGCCTTCTTTGCCTGTCTTTAACACCGATGATGGGCCCTGGGACCCCCGGAGCCCTGTGCTGGAAGACCGTGACTGGGGGGATGATAAACTCCCAGATGACCCTGAACTTGTTCGAGACTTGCTGCTCCAGCTGGATGTGCATAAATCTATGGGGCTCGATGGGGTTCATCCCAGGGTACTGAAAGAGCTGGCCGATGTCATCGCGGGACCTCTCTCCATTATTTTTCAGTGGTCTTGGGAGTCTGGAGAGGTCCCAGTCGACTAGAAGCTGGCAAATGTTGTCCCAGTTTTCAAGAAGGGTAAGAAGGAAGACCCTGGTAATTACAGGCATGTCGGTCTCGCGTCAGTGCCCGGTAAAATTATGGAGAAGGTTATTCTGGGAGTTACTGAAAAGCACTTGAGAGACAATGCAGGCATTGGCCATAGCCAGCATGGGTTCACGAGGGGAAAGTCCTCCTTAACCAACTTAATTGTCATTTGTGACAGGCTCAGCCATCTGGTTGACCAAGGGAAGCCGGTAGATGTGGTGGTTTTGATACTGTCTCTCCCAGTATCCTTCTGGATAAACTGCCCAGCACACAGCTAGACAGGTCCTTAATACATTGGGTGAGCAATTGGCTGATGGGTCCAGCTCAAAGAGTTACAGTAAGTGGGGTTACATCAGGCTGGCGGCCAGTCACCAGTGGGGTTCCCCAGGGCTCAATTTTAGGGCCAATGCTCTTTAATGTTTTTATAAATGATCTGGACACAGGAATCGAATGTACATTAAGTTTGCTGACAATAGTAAACTAGGAGGAGCTGTGGACTCCCTTGAGGGTAGAGAGGCCTTACAGAGAGATCTGGATAGGCTAGAGAGCTGGCAGTCACCAGGCATGTGAACTTTAACAAGGGCAAGTGCCAGACCCTCCACCTGGGACAGGGTAATCCTGGTTATACGTACACACTGGGGGACGAGAGGCTGGAGAGCAGCCCCATGGAAAGAGAGCTGTGAGTCTGGTTGATGGCAAGTTGAATAGGAGTCAACAGTGTGCCCTGGCACCCAAAGGGCCAACCGTGTCCTGGGGTGCATCAAGGATGGCATCGCTAGCCAGTCGAGGGAGGCGACTGTCCCGCTCTGCGCTGCACTGGGGCAGCCCCACCTCGAGCGCCGTGTGCAGTTTTGGGCGCCTCGGTGCAAGAAGGACATCAAGCTATGAGAGTGTGTCCAGAGGAGGGCGACCAAGACGGTTTCACCTCAGGGGCAGCTGAGGTCACTCGGCTTGTTCAGCTTGGAGAAGAGAGGGCTGAGGGGTGACCTCATCGCTGAGGGGTGACCTCATCGCAGTCTACAGCTTCCTCAAGGGGGGCAGTGGAGGGCGAGGTGCTGATCTCTCTGGTGACCAGCGATAGGACGTGAGGAAATGGAGTGAAGCTGCATCGGGGGAAGTTCAGGTTGGACATTAGGAAAAGGTTCTTCAGTGAGAGGGTGATTGGTCACTGGAACAGGTTCCCCAGGGAAGTGGTCACGGCACCAAGCCTGTCAGAGTTCAAGGAGCGTCTGGAGAATGCTCTTAGTCATATGGTTTAGTGTTAGGTAGTCCTGCGAGGAGCAGGGAGTTGGACTCGATGATCCTTAGGGGTCCCTTCCAACTCGAGATATTTTATGATTTTTGTGTTAAATATAAAGAACAAATGCAGAAATTATTACAGACATAGATATCTAGAGTCTTGGCTAGAAATCTGATTAAAATGTGTCTCCCAGCTGGCTACTGAATGGAATGTATTCATTGCAAAGTTCGGTACTTTTCGTCAGGCTTTTTTCCTACTTTTCCTGTTAACCTGATGGATGTCCTGTTTTCATCCTTTTCCTTCCTCTCTAGCAAAAGGTGGGAATTGTAAATATCATTGTGCCAGTTCAACATCTCTTGCTAATACGTCGTAGCTATTCTGAAATAGAAGCAGCTCAGTGTTTAAGTTGGCAGATATTAGAAAGACTCTGGACACGGATATTCACCAGATTTTCAAAAGTGACTTAACTGGTTATATGTTTAGTGGGTACACTGACCACCAGAATTTGGTTCCTGATCTTCCAAGGAGTCTGCTAGGAAGTGCAGAAAACGAAACTTCATATAAACAACCAAGAGTGAACTTCATCCTGATAATCATTGGGTCTGGTCTACTTTTGTGAGTCACAAAATGAGTTACCCTTTATTTTCCCCTCGTAGGGCATCTTTAGCTTCCAGTGTTCTAAGTAACAACTCACGATTTAATTAAAATTTAATAAGATAGGGTATTGTATCTGAAAGAGTTACTTAAGAACCATAGTCCATTAAACTTTTTCACATTGAATAAAATGTTAAGAAGATAACATACTAAGTATTTTTGATTTTTCCTAGTCAGTTCATCTCTGACCAGAGAGGAAAACTATTTCACTCAAAAAAACCAGTTTGCTCAAAGATTTTGTGTTTAACTTTCAAAATTGTCCTTTCTAGCATTGTAGCATTTAGATCTTTTGCCACATTGCATGCTTATAGGTCACGAAGCATGTTGGCTGATAAGAGAACGACATTCAGATATTCAGATGCCTGAGCTTTGTAAATGTCAGTAAAACTTGGAGCATTTGGAGTGTTGTTCGCTTTTTCCTCTTTAACGGACTTCTGTAACGCTTTGAGGACCAATGCTTGCCGAAGAGATAGTAATGACTTTCAAAGGAGAAACGTACTCAGTAAAGAGCAGGCTTGCGGCCATTATTATTACAGTACTTTAATTTGTCAACAGAGCGATCTGTAGTGTCAAATTAAAAAAATAGTTGGTTTACAGCCATAATGAATTCTGTTGCCTTGTCTGTATATAGTATGCGTGAGCTTAAAAAAATAAAGCCTCTGTTATTATATACCCTCTGAAGCTTATCCTAGAAATACATACTGCCCCTTGGCATAGAAACAAACACCAAATTTTTGCCTTTGCTGTTATTCATGACTTCTTTTTAACAGTTAACTGTGTTATAAATTGTTTTGGCTTTGCCATAGATGATTTTATATCTAGCATACTAAAAATAGGAAGTTTATGACTGTGACTTAATTGAATTCCAACAGAATTTGTAACAATTGAGTCTTTAAATAACGGTTCTATGATCGCTGTCCTCTCTTGCAATTGGAGAGCGCAGTAGCATTGCATGTGTAATATTGATGATCTTTACTGCTGTTTTGTAAGAACTGCAGATTTCGGGATGCTTATTCGCCTCATACGCCGCACCGTTCTGCGAGATGTAGAAATGCAACTGGTATTTTGTGTAGCTGCTTCTTTTAACCAAAAAGAAGGTTGCGCATGGTCCAGGTTGGAACCACAATAGGATGATGATAGGTAGAATAAGGAGGAAGCAGCTGGTATGATTTCATTAAATGTGAAGACAGTTATTCTTATGGAATAAGGTATTACAAGAATTGAGTACCCTTCCGTATTTT